ATTCAAGAGTAAAACAGGGAATTAAGAGTAAATACACAGCAAAAAGTTGATTGTGTCGAAACTTACAACCACTGCGGTTGGCTTCTTTGCCTGGGCTTTGTTGGGTTCCGTGGTGCTAGCTGTCTTCACAGCGACGTCCGTCAGTTCATTCTTGTCGGTTATTTCATCCGTTATCCGTAATTTTATGACGTTTGACATCCAAAATGTAACAGAATCAAAGAGTGATCCGATTGCTGGTCCCTTGTTTTCACTTGCAGGCGCAGAAGTACTCCCAGAGACCCGATTTTCAGCACCCCAGAACCGTACGTTTCGAAGTGTGATCGTGTCCTCGATGGAATTGATGGCGGCCACCGTCCCCTCATACCGATACTGGACACTGGTAATAAGCGAAACATTGGCGCCAATCGGGATTTTGCTCAGTTGAGGAACCTCAGAAGTCGTCATCCTCCGAAGTTATGATCACCGAAAGCGGAAAAAGTCGAAAAATTAGCCCCAACTGACGAACTTTTGACAGTGAGTTCTTTTCGCGAAAACGGATGTCGGGCCCCAGCTACGTCGCGTACGCTGTAAGCACTGAGCGAAAGACGAGTAGCGCCGTTCAAAAATTACATCGACCACTGCTTACCGATCGATAAATCGAAAATACTCGCGCGCCTGTTAATTGGCATACAGCTGCGCGCAATGAATGCTCTGTCACAGCCGTAGCCGAATGCCGTCACGAGTTAAGCCAGCCAAGTGAACGAAAATCATGCGACTGGCAGGGCATCTGACCAAGAGCCTCTGCCGTTTTTAGTTATAGGAATTCCAAGGGAAAAGGAAAATGCCTAAGAAAAAAAGTGCGGAAATAGTAACTGTCTCATCCGAGGAATCATCCCTAGAAACCCAGTAGAAGCATACCCACAACAAAAAGACCGTTTTTCAAAAGTATCGAGGGAGAAATAAAATAGCCCACGTGTCAAAAACAGTTAATAATTTATGCTATTTTATACCACATGCTTTTTTTTACCGGAATAGGCCCACAAATAGTTATGGGTTAAAAGTAAGATTAAAGAAACATACAAAGAGAGGGTAAATATACAGATCATGCATTTTAGAACGACGCACTTCAGTTCGAGAGACGCGTTTGAGAAAAATGTTAAATTTATTTGGGAATGAAGAACTGGGCATTAAGGTTTTAGCGAAAGAAAGTCAAAATAGTCGGTAAATCGACAAGTGGCACTTGTGAGCTTATGGCAACTAAAGTAAATGAGGAAATAACACAAAAAACTAACAGGTTGGCCAAGTAGACAGCTGCCCAAAGGTGGGATGTGACAAAACGTTATTCGTAGGCGAAAGTGCATGATAACGAGGAGAAATACTTGAGAATTCTACGCGCCAGAGCTAATCCATTGCGAATTACTAGAGGTTTACTGAGAATTTGGTTAGGCCCAGGACATCTTTCGAGATGAGATACTCATTAGCTTTTGCAGGTTACTGCATTTTTATTTGTAGTTGGTTTTGCTCTAAAACAACTTCAACCGGTCGTAGGTACATTAAGCTAGCGAACGGATATCTACATCAAGATCGAATATCGGACGTTGAAAAGGCGACTTTCTAGCCTGTTCGGAGAAAAGTGTACACGCATCTTGTGGGATTTTTAAGAACAATCGTGGTGTTGCTACTCGACAGGTAAGATGCTACACCGGTCGCTGTTTCGTTTTGATGTTACCTGATCCCTCTCCACCTTCGTGGTTTTCACCATCCTTTAGCCGATACAACATCAAAAAATGAAATCTGTTATCTCAGTGAGTACACTCCAACGATTCGCTACCTTCCTTACCGGATTCCGGTAGCTGAAAAACCTTTAGTCAGGACCGTGGCTTATACAGATGGTCTCTGGCACACGGTATCAGAGACAACAAAGAAAAGCGTGCAATAGTATTCGCGTATCGAGGTTTCCTGTAGTAGGAGCGGGCGACTTTTGCTTACGCTTGCGGAATGGAATCAAATAAACAGTGCTAGTTTGCTCATTTTTGTTGTTTTAGTTTTTTTTTTTTTCAAATTTTTCAGTGCAATAGTGTCTGCTGGATCACAGGACTTCGGCAGACCTTAATATGTTCTGTTACTTCAAAATCATTTCCCATACATAAAAAGGGAGCCAACGCTTTTCTTCTGTCTTTCATTGTTGACTTCTATGAGCGCGTAAATTGTCGCATAAACACTGGCCTTCCTGTATTCAACTCTCTGGGCCAATTCTGTGGGTTTTGACGATTTTAAGGAAAGGTTCGAACCAATTCCTTTTTACAGCATCGCAAGTGATGACAATCAGTGCTGTCTCAGATGGAGCGAAATGATGCCTTGCGCGGGAATTTGTGTACTGGGACTGACTTGATTTGTCTGTACTTCATTCCACTCCTATTATGCCCGCCGCGTTCCGATATCAGGAAAAGTGGTGAACATTCTAGATAGACGTGGACGGAGTGGTTGGCGGGACTGAACAGCTCGGACTTGCGTTTCGAACACGAAATTGTCCCTAACACTACAAATGCCAGGCTCCAGTGAGGTTTCACCGAATCTCGCGAAAATAGGCCACAATAAGAAGGAGCCTTACAGCCTAAACTTTATACTTGAGTAGGAACCATTTATCCAATCCTAGAAGAACCTTCTAAATCATTATTGCTAGTGCGTTGTGGTAGGACAAACGTGGTTTTTGATGAATGGAATCCGAAGGATTCGAGATGGCTCGAGTTCATTCTTTTCTCTCTCCAATTTGTCCACGCCTGTCGGTCGACCAGGGTTGATATCGGGCGCATTAACTAATACAACATGAAGGCCAGCTCGTACAATTGCCGCATGCATATTGTCCCCAAACTTCGCGTGAACCATTTCTCACCAAAACGCGGACCTCACACATGTCGGAATTGTACATGCATAAATACGATGTCTCATCCATCATTGCAACTTTTGAAAATTGCAGGACAGAAATACTGCTTGGGGACGTCATGGTGCTTACTAACCGTGGATGTGCATATACACACGACAGAATGGGCCCATGTGATGATACGAGCATATGGGGAGAGAAGTGATGTAAGAGGGACCAGCACCGTGCTATTCTGGGTGATGCACTTCCTATGTGCGCATCCTATGTGCGTGGACTCGAAAAGGGGTAATACGACTTTCGGCGTAGTTCTTACTACGGCATCTGTAGGCAGACTGCAGTACAGTTAGAGGTGACCGACCAGGCCGATGCGTGATTCGAGTGTGCAACTGCTACGAAAACGCTTTGACATTGTGGCGGCACCTCTGGCAGGTGCTCTCTGTGTCCTGGGATTGCTCTGGCTACTCAAAGAGAACAGCAGAGAGCGTACTTGGGAGGATGTAGACCATGATGTTACAGTGAGGGCAGATGGGGAGGGAGTTCGTCAATTGTGTTGACAATGGAGGCTTTTGAGG